CCTAAACTCGGCAACACAAAGGCTTTCGAGGAAATGGCGTTCGGTGAAATGGCATTCGGCCAAATTTTCCATGGTAATTTTTTTTCGCCCCTCCCTAGCTCGAAACCTGACTACGCCCTTGGTAAACGATCAACTTTGCTTAGAATAGGATCAGCGTTGGTCTTATCGAAACTTTTTATGGCCTGGGATTCACGAGCACCAACATCGAAGCAATGGAAGGAATCCTAGGGCCCACTTATAATGACGTAGTTCACCAGGCATCTGGTGCATTTCCAACTAGCCCCATTATTTCTATAAAGGCTGAAGCTGGTTGTCTCCCCTTCCGCCTTTCACTTATCCAACGTTTATGTCAGCTAACTGTCCGACTAATGGAAAAAAAATCCACGAAGTAAACGAGTATCCTTTGACAAAAAGAGCTAAAAACCTTTTTCTTAAACCATCCGGATTGTGTTTCCCAGATGTATGCAGAATTCTAAGAGCTGCAGATAGAGAGTGGTATGCACCAGTCCCAAAAATCGACAACAACCTTAGGAACAACATCAGAGCAGGCGCAAACAGGGGTATCGTACTACCGAAGTTTATCACGACCACCAGCAGATATATACTGATGGCTCCAAAGAAATCAACCGCACCGGAGCTGGAATAGTTGTGTACAACACAAACGTTAGTTTCGGCTTGCCTTAGATGTGCAGCGATTCTCAGTCAAAGCATTTGCCCGCTCCATTTATATGCATCATATTGAACAGAAATTTACTCTACTTTTTCGAACTGTGCATATACTAGTGGAATTCAGAGGGTATGCACAAACTAGGAGATCTTGCGGAATCAATGGATCACTATGTACGATACTAGCTAACAATACCGACAAAGTAGAAGAAATATTAAAATTTTGAAGAGATTTTAGCTTTTTCAATGAAATTTGCTAGAGTAATCTATTGTAGTATTAATTATTCTGACACGAATGCCAATAATGTGGTAAGGTCTTATAAATACGTTATGTCAATATTGCTTTCAGTGCATCACAATCAGCGATTTCACGATTCGTGAGCGTTCACTCTGAGTGAACGCTCACGAATCATAAGATCGCTGATTGTGACGCTCTGAAACCGAAATTGACAGGTTTTATGACTCAAACACACCCTTTACACCTTTTTTCTTGTTACTTGCAAGTCTTCTTCTTCTTATTCGCATTTCAAGCTTATTGCATATCGCATATATTAACGTATTGCGTGCTCTCAACTTAGTGTGCTAGATACCCTTCCACAGTTATTAATTGAGAGCTTTCGATGCCTGTATCATTTTTGCATTGATATGATTATGTGGCAAGTCCAATCATACTTCTATGCCCAGGGAAGTCGAGAAATTTTCCAACCCGAAAAATTCCTAGACCGAACCGGGAATTGAACCCAGCTACCTCCAGCATGGTCTTGCTTTGTAGCTGCGCCTTTACCGACTGAGCTAAGGGAGGCCCCTGCAAGTACAACATATTTTTTATAGCAGCCCAGCAACCCTGGTTTCAACCCCTGATTGCGGTATCATCTGCGAACAGGAAAAATACGCAACCGTCTCCGAGGGAAGGAATGTTGGAAGTGTAGATGCTGTAAATCAAAGGGCCCAGCAGACTGCCTTGCGAAAGCTTGTATACAGCTTTGTTACTTCGAGTGTTATTCAACACCCGTGCTAGGCTGGTGATTGGTCAAGTGCCCCATCCTGAACCCTAACTGTTTCGGAAGGAGAATGTTGTTTTCCTCGACAAACTTGAGCAAACGATTGAGAATGAGTTTCTTGAACAAATTTTTCAGCACTGAAAGGAGGTTAATTGGTCCGTAGGTTGAAGACAATATTGGATCTTTACCGGGTTTGCGGATTGGTATAATATTTGCTACCTTCCAGACGCTTGTATATAAGGTTCAGACAATGCCGCTTAAGAGCGCTACCGGAACCGGTTCCGGGTATCCAGATGTAGCCAGATTAACCTGTTGGTCCATGACATCATGTCTATTTACTTCTGGATGAAAAATCATAAATTTCGAGCTGTCACACGGTACCAGTAGACGAGGTTTTGGAAGTGTCCTTTTTGGGACCCTGCCGGAACCGATTCCAGGTATCCAGATATAGCCAGATCCACGTGTTGGTCCATGGCATGATGTGTCTTAACTTTTGAATGTAAAATCATAAATTTTGAGCCGTCAAACGGTACCAGTACATGAGGTTTTGGATGTGTCCATTTGTGCCCTATCGGAACCGGTGCAAGGTATCCTAAAAGGCCAAATTAAAAATCCTGGGCAGAGTGAAGAAACCTTTATCCTTTTTTTTAGGCCAGTTGATCAAGAATCGGTTCAAAAATGGATTTTTGGGAGTGAGTTGCAGTCTGTGTCATTTTAGACCCCAATGCACAATGTGTTACTTTTTTTGTAGCGCCACTCCTTGAGGCCGCTGAGAGCTTCTTTCACAGCAAAACTTTTGCTTCCGAAAGTTAGGAAAAGTCAGGAAATTTTAGGTCTGTATCATATTTCGTTACAAAATTACAGCTTTTTGAAAGTGAGGCCGGGTCCAAAAAGACCCTAATGCACTAGGAAGATTAATGTTCTAGAAAGTTGTAGGTGTTCTAAAAATGCACATTTTAGCTGTTTAAATCAAATCGCTATCCCTTTTTTTAAAGGATTTACATCCGTATTTAAAATTTTTAACACTATCTTTAGGGGGCAGATATTTTCAAAACTTCCTGTTTTTAATGGGTCTATTATTGATATTTTAGGGCGCACTTATTTGTTTCTATTTGTGCTACCGATTAGAACTCTTTAATGCTGATATTGACAAAAAAACACCTGTAAATCTCTGAAACATCAGTTTCAACTGATTGATTATTTTCAAAAGCTGGACAAGTTCAGACAATGTAAAAGGAATCTGTGTCTAGTCCTAGAGATTATCTATCAGAACTGGACCAGTTCAAAAGATCCGGATTAGTATGGAGAGTATCCACGGCTCATTTTTTTTATAAGATTCAGATCAATAACATTGTCTTTGAGCGGCACCGGTGGTGTAGTGGTAAGCGTGATTACCTCTCACCCCAGCAGGCCTGTGTTCAATCCCAGTTGGCGTAACCGGGATGATCTGCGGCATAACATCTCTGATCACGCCTTCCACGCCTTCCGGGCAGTAAAGCTGTTGGTCCCCGATTCATGAGTTGAGGTCCAGGTGTGGAAGGTGCCTCTCTGGCGTCGGTAGCATTGCACCTCAGCACGGAAAACAATTCAAGGAAAAAAATTACATTTTCTTTGAGTTCTCAGATCGAAAACATTCACGTATCAGAATGAGCTGCCAAAAAAATTATCAAAAATTACTTTTCCTGGTTTTTCCTTATTAGAGAATTGTATAGATTTTTCTCCTTTGGTTTACTTAAGTTTTTGGTTTTTATTAGTTAGGTAGGTTCCGATTCAACACATTGTAGTTTCATTTTTATACCTATGATCTTGACATTTTTACCTAGGGTATGAGTACTTTTTTTTTTTTCCTTTGGTTTGTTTTTTCCGTCGATCTTGTTTTCCGTGCTGAGCATCAATGCTACCGACGTGCCAGGAAGGCAGCTCCCACACCTGTACCCTACCTATCGACCCATCAACTCATGAACCGGGGACCAACGGCTTTACTTCCCATCCGAAGGAAGGCGTGATCAGAGATGTTATGCCTCAGAACATCCCGGCGGCGCCGACTGGTATTGAACCCAGGCCTGCTGGGGTGAGAGGTAATCAGGGTATTAGTACTTAAGGGGGTTATGTTTTTGATAAGTCTTTAGTGGGAATGACACTGATAAAGACTGCACATTGTAGTCGAAATACGTATCTGCCATGGATTCCAAAATTAATTAAGTGGAATTAAATGGAAGATAACCTTGCTGTTTTATTTTAAAAATGACTTGTTGCCGTTGGTCGAGGCCGTTTTCACTTCCCTTCACTACGATGCCAAAAAGAACTATTAGTTTCACGGTGTCAGATCCCTTGTCCTTGCCAATGCATATCAATACGAACAAACCAAAGGTCCTATCTGCTTTGATCGATTCTGTTCATCGACTTTCTCTTTTACAGCTGCAAAAACATTCCCATGTATTTGATGTTCTGGATGCTAGATGAGAATCTCCTACACCAAACTAGGTTGCAAAAATAGCTTGAAATCTGTTTGTATAGTTGTGGTTATCAAAAGACAAAGTCGATTAAAAGAATCAATCCAAGCAGATAGGATTGTTCATCGAGATATTTGATGGGAATAGGTTGCTTATAAATTGCTCTGAGTTGAAGAGAGAGCCTTCGCAAATTTCCAAACTGATCGAGGTTAAAGTGATTCGATGAACCGTTGAAAAAATCCGGATCACCTATATGAATGAATGGAGTTCAGAGTCGTTCACCTAAGTGATCTCTAAAATCCTATCCTAGTTGTCTCACTTTCATTTCCGCTTAGGGTGGGTGAGCCAGTAGTGGAGGTACTAAGCCAATTTATTAATTAAACGATGTACGATGTACACACAATTGTTATACGTCAATCTATAGCTTTCAACCTCTATTTTGATATAAAAATATTACACTGTAATAAAATTGCTCATCCTCCATTAACAGGAACACTGTTCCAGTAGTTGTGGTAGTTGCTAACTTTGGTTCCTATAATAGTGGAATGCGTTGGTTTCTTATGGGTTCCACTATTATAGGAGCACTACCTCAACTATAGGTGCAAAGGAGTGAAAATCTTAAAGAAAATTAATGATTTTTCGTAATTTTTGGGCTAATTTTGAACTTGAAATATGCAAATATGTTTTATTTTAGGACAACTACCCTTATCCGGGTCCATCTCCATACCGCAACTATAGGTACACCACTATTGCTGGAACACCTACCCTACTGAATTTAGAATAAATTACCCATTTGAATGTGTATGCAGCTCAGCTGCTAATTCTGTAACACAAAATGTAAAGTTTGACTTACCTACAACATTTATTTCCTTCGTTCCAGATCTGAACATCGAAGAAACGTACGAACAATTGCTAAAGTCCAACAGTGGTCCGGCTGAGTGCTGCTACGACTACTGTGGGTCAAATCCTCAAGCTGGTGTCTGCTCGAGGTGTGACCCACTGCTGTACGAGGACGACGACCCCGAGGAGGTTCAGGCGGAGACAAACATGCGAAAGGAAAGTCCCAATACCGGGAAAAGTGGATTCGCAAATAGCACGCATGCCAGCAACAGCAGTAGCATCAGTAATACCATCAGCACTCCCAGCAGCAGTAGCAGTAGACGGAACCTCCTCGCTGAGCTACGGTTTAGTAGCGAGCTGCCGCCCCGATTAGCCACGTGTCCGAGCATAACAAGCGCAACAACCCCGTCATCACCATCGGAACATTGCAAATCATCGCAGCAGCTTTTACTTCAACGCCAACAATCCAGAACGATCACCACCAAAAACACCCTCAGTACTGATACCCTTCCATCGAGGTCGTCGTCATCGGCATTGACGGCGACCGCAGTGACGACGACCGCGGCGACGGCGGCATCATCATCAGCCCCATCGCTAGCATCATCGTCATCAATTATTAAACTAACTAGTATAAAGTCGATTTATAACGTTTACTTTAATAACTCGTGGTCGATGAGGTTGCGGTGTCTAGACGAATTTGTCGCATGGACGAAAATCCTGCTCCAACTAGTCGGGTTATAGTTAAGGAGAAACATTGGGCGCTAACCGGTTAGGTCGAATGAAAACAATACACACACACACTCATACATAACACACTCGGATACACACACACAAATGCATACACAGAAGACGCCAGACGTGCTTATGCGTCAACCGAAGTTCGCCCAACAAAGGAAACTACTCGACAAACAAAGCAAAACAAACAAAAATCAAGTCAGTGTAAAACGAAAACAACAGAAAACCCCGAATTGTAACATCAAACAAACAAATAAACGCAAACAAATGGAATGTATCAAGAACAAACCAGTGATTGAGCAAGAAGAAGAAGACGGCCGAACGTCCGATTCGCAGTGCGAATCCGACCGAAACAGCTCCGTGAGGTATTTCAATTTGCGGAAAATAGCAACAACAGCAACAACAAACAACAGCCGATGATTAACAGATTGAAGCACAAAAATTTAATACTGAGCTCCTCCTCTCCTCGGCCGGGCTTCGCGGGTGCCACCCGTCGATCGTTCCTCCACCGGTCCGGCCCCAGGGCCAGTAGTGGATCAACCCGGACCAGTGATCTGGCATCTGCCGCTACGCTTACGGGATGGAAAATAAACAAATATGGGGAGAAAATCTCGGTGCAAAATACGGTTGACGTGTGCGTGCTATCGCGAGTGCGAGTGATGTGTTTTCATTACTTTCTTCTTCTTTTTTTTTCGAAGGGAATTGGCTGTGTTTGGGAAAGTGGGTTGCCGATGGAGGGCGATCGATCGCGGTGCCGATACAAGTGGAAAGGAGGGGGGAGCGAGCGAATAATAAATGGGAAATGGACAATTTTAGGTGAAATAATAAAGAAATTATTAATTGTTAAGTAAAGTGAGAAAACTAATAGACGTAAACGAAAGCTAACAGTAGAAGAAGATAAGGCAAGAAAAGGTTCAACAGATAAACAAACATTAAACAGTTTTTACAAGATGCAAAGAAAAACCAACACGTGTAAGCAAGCAAGTATTTTTCGAGTTCGATTTTTTCCGTTGTTAAGTTTCAAGCTATTTTCGAGCGTTTTAGTGGATCAAACAGCCAGACCGAAACCAAAAGTAGACGATGAATCCGGAGGGCTGGTTCGGGTTTGGACATTTTCTTGGTAATTCTATCGCTGCCGTTCGGAGAACACGATGATGAAGGATTAGGATTTGGCCAGCAGAGAGATAGGAAAAGATACATAGATTCACAGGAACAAAAGCGAGACGGTGTTGATTGTGGGTTCAGAAGATGGTGGAGCAGACACACGGTTCTTGAGTACGCCTAAGTCGCTACTATTATAATTAGTCCGTCAATTTTCACAACAATCGTTGTTAGCTGATCATACCAGGAACATGTGTGTGTGCACTTTATGGGGAAAGAGCTCTTAACAAGGCAACATAAATCGATAGCTGAGAGAGAGAGAGAGGAACGGATCCTTTCGCGAAGGACTTGGGAAGCCTAGTGAACAAATCAAGCAAAAACCACCAACAAACTCTACTTATTTAATCGTCAAAGGTAAATGCACTAGTGGGAATTATTAGCGAAAATAAACAAAAAATAATGAATACAGTTTCTTAACTTTTATACTCGTTGTTGAAGAGCAAGGCAAAATCAAGACGATAGGATTGTTTTTGTTTTTCGCAGCAGACACAAACACTTACATGTTCCCGTACACGAATGCCCCCCTCACGCGTACACGTATCCGTTCATCCGGTGCTTATGTGAGCGAGTACCAAAGGCTTTGTGGTGAAACCGAACAAGAAGAAACTATTGCAAACAACTCTAATACAAACACACACACACACACACCCCTAGAACCCTATCGTAAAATTGTAAAACTTAGATCAACCAAAGTGAAATTAGAGTAATCGGTCATCATGTTTGAAGAAAACTGTATCGTAAATTGTCGCGTTTGAGTCCTGTGCATGGACCGGCTCCACTGGTAATCAAGCCGGGTGCGGGAGGTCTACTAACGGTAGGGATGGGACCTTCGATTGGTTCCTCTCTATCCGCTGAAAACAAACAAACACAAACACGAACGCTATTGCCAATGGTCGGAACCAGTGTAGAAAACAACAACATTCGGTTCGACGACCTTCAAACACAGACAACCCGACATAACAGAAGAACAACAACAGCAAAACCCGGCAACGGCTGCGAACCTTGGCCGAAGCACAAATGAAAACCAGAATAAACCTAAAAGAATAATAATAAAACAAAATTGTTAACGTTCGAAAAGCCATATTTTTAGCATTTAAATAGTAATTAAAAACAAATGAAATTATAATCAATATTTGTTACATAAATGTGAGATTTAAATGCGGAGGCAGAAGAGGAGAAGGGAAAACACAAATACAGACACAAAGGTTTATTGAACTAAAGGAAAGCAAGGAAGAGCAAGAGGCAAAAACAAACAATAAAAGAAATCGTTTAACTTTAATCTACGATCGAAACGAGTAGATAAAAAACTTAACAAAAAAAAAACACACACACACAGTGAAAAATAATCCTAGAGACGTCATCAAGTTGTAATGTTAATCGTGTAGGTCAAAAATGGTAAACAAATAAAAACACAAGTGAAGCAGAGAGAACCCACCCAAAGTTTTTTCGAAAAACCCTTAGTTCACACTGGTAGTGCCGGAAGCGTGGTGATGTTGAGTTTTAATTTTTATCTATTTATCAGATATATTTTCGAAAATTTATTTTTATAGAGATTGCAAAAAAAGAAACACAACAGTGGTATAATTAGTAGAACGAAGTCTTGACATCAGAGAAAAATTAAAAATATCCATCTGAAAACCGAAACGAATCGGCACAAGGAGAAAGAGGGATATAAACAAAAGGAAAAAAATGTTAATATAAGAACTACTAGTGAAACAAAAAAAAACACACACACACAGGAGGATTAAGTCCACACTAAAACAAAACAAGAAAACGTAGAGTGTATAGATTGAATTTGTACTAATTTTTAGGAGTAAACAATAAAAAAAACAACAGCACAGACATACACACAGAAACACAAAACAACCGACACTATCTATCTCTTTCTCTTATCACACACAGACACACGTACAGCAAATCGATGCCAGAAGCAAGTAGCGAACACGAGAGCTTGTTCGAAGTCGATTCGCCATATTTGTACAGTAGAAGATATTAAAAAGAAACTGTCAACTGTTTCGAGCTCGCGCGCTGTTTCAGTTTTTGCCCCCGAAACAAATACACACGAAACAGACAACAACTACTACTTAGAACTAAATAATAAATTGGAGGAAAGCCATGGAAATCGTTCTTCCACAGCGCGAAAGTTATAACTCATTAAGCAAAACAAAACAAAATAATTGATTGCAATTATTCCACTAGAGACGATAAACAAACAAAAACAAAGAACAAAGAAGGAATGGTGCAACACACTTACGCAAGAGACGAAAAACGCAAAAAAGGAAATCAAATCTATTAATTATAAAGAAACAAAAAAAAACAAGTATATCTCTATCTAAGAACACACTCTATAACTAATCACTAAGAAGACGAGATAAAAAAAAAACACACACACACACACAAACACATAACACTTGATACGCTGTGAAAAGGAGAAATGGAAAAAGACGCATGTAGCTTCGCAGAAAACTCACACTCAAACACTCGAACACAAACACACTCACACACACAAATCAGATGTTAAATAGCTTTTGAACCATAGACCGAAGCAAAACTCGAGAAACCAGACAGCACAAATCTTTTACCGCTTTCGTGTAAAACCGTCACATTACTAACTGTATACTGTTCACTTACTTCTACTGCAATTTTCCGTTCTTTCCCATTTGTTGGTTACTTTCCTATTCTGAGAAGACAAAGCAAACGACAACACAGAAACAAAATCGCAATTCACATTCGGTTAATTCTTTTCTACCGTACTCTAAACAACAGTCAGTTAGGTGCAGTTAGTGCAGGAAACAAAAAAAAAAAAAAAAAACAATTAAAATGGAGAAGAACAAGCGAACAATTTTTAAACCCGTAAGCGTAGATGAACTTGGATAGGGGACTGACTGGACGACTGGACTGGACTGTACACACCAAATCAACACACGAACAGGACCGTTGTTCGATCGGGCATTGTCGGAATGCAGAAGGCAAGTTTTACAGGGCAATTTTCGGAACGTAACTAGTGGGACAAAGGACAAAGGACAAAGGACGCGGTGTTCACGGGAAGGTTGTATGATTTTAAGATGATGCAATTCAGGATGGCTGGCTGCCACTTCAAATTTTCTATGGAGTAAGCATCGGACGATAATGCGAATTCAAGCAAGAAAGTTGCTTCATCGCAGCAAACATGGGGAAGCAGTTTGTATGTTTTCATTAGCTGATATTTATTCTTCATAAGATACGGAGTGGCATCCAGACCGTGTCACCCTAATGTGGTGTTTAAATCTGTGCTGGTTTGCTAGCGCTAGTGTACTAAAACTGTATTAAAAAGCAGTTAGCATAATGTAAACAGGGCGTGAGCATCTACCAGCATGAGATTTCAGGATCAACGGAAATTAGAGCTAGTTAGTTGATCTGGTGGAGCTAGTGAACTAGCATAAGTTTAAACAGCCCATAGGGCACGCAAAATTTCGTAAAAGTATTTCAATTCGCCTGTAGATTATCTGCGATCATGATCGAATTTTCGTTAAGGCATGCACTTCCACAGTTGTTAATTGAGAGCTTTCAAAGCTTCTACCAATTTTCATTAGTATAAAGGGTTCATGTCTCCAATGTCAGCATAAGTATTTGTAATATTGGGCCCATACATAAATTTCGATGGAACGAATATTTTGCGAAATGTTCACCAGCATCCAAAAATATCCATTTGTATTGTCCAGAAGACGCATTGCTCTTAGAAAAATTTAAGTGCTTAGTTGATCCATAGGCAAACATTAGTGCCATTTCCCCTATTGTGACATTGGGTCATAGTCTTAGTCATAGGTCATAGTCTATGCCGACGGAAGCCGAGAAATTTTCCATTCCGTAAAATTCCTAGTCCAGACCGGGGATGGAACCCAGTCGACTCCAGAATGGCCTTGCTTTAAAGCTGTTCCTTTACCGACTGAGCGAAAGAAGGCATCTGATAGAGATAGTTAACATAAATCCTTCAAATTTAGAAGTAAATAAAAGTCCAAGGGATTAGAACAATTCGACAGCGAGCATGCCTAAGGGCCTAACTGTAATGATTGATTCTCTTCATCGATATTCTTCTTAAATTGCTACAGCTAAGGAAAGCAATTTTCTGAATTTTTTCCAATACAGTGCTGTAACAGTTTGTATTGGCTATCAAAAGCAGCAACAAACACACCGAGAAATGTTAATCCAAGCGAGTTATTAAAAAAAAAGAGAAAATTGACGAAGAGAATCGATCATCGCGGTTACACCTTTATGAATGCTGTCTGTCGAATTGTCACAATTCAAAAACTACACGGCCGTTGAATCTGACTTATATTTGAGTTTCATTTACTCAAATTCGCAAAAAAATAGGTCACTCAAAGACTGAGTAAATGTGATGCCAAATGTGAGTGACATTTACTTACAGTTGAGTAGTCTATGAGTTAGCCACAGTTTTTTTTTTTGGAATTGAGTGAATGTAACTCAAATATGAATCAGACTCAACGGTCATGTAGGATCAATTCAAATTGCATGATTCTAATGAGTAATTTTTTACACAGTTGAGAGTAACTTTTACTCATTCGTATGGACAAATTTCTAAAAGCGTCGGTCACATGAGTAAGTGTTGAAAGTGACTCTCTCTCTCTAAGTTTTCGGTATAGTTATTTTTTGACTTCATGTGACGGTTCATCTCACCAAGACATAGGTATATCCAGGCCTGTCATGATGGTTACTCATGGGTGCTTCATGATTAACCAGCTCCGAAGCCTGATTTGTCTGTTTATATAATCAAAACTTACAGGGCGCAGAAATCACGATCTTCATGCGCTTTCCTTATAAAACCTGTGAGTGATAATATAAAAAAAACCTGTAAGTGAAATTGCACTGCAAATATTTAT